TTCATCCGATTTATCTGTTACAAGAACATTTATTTCAAGTTTGTTTCCATGCTCTACCTGATCACATTTGTAATGCATTTAGAATAAATATTTTAAAATTTTATTTTAATTCTGTGCATGTTTTGCAAACTACAAGATCTCGGCTTTGGTATCGCCTTTTAATTCAACACTCATAAATAATCGGTTGAAGAGTTGGCTTAATTGCCTAGTGATCATTTTGTGTTTGTTCTTCTGTTCACTTGTTAATGGATTTAATCAAAACCAGCAATACACTGGAGTAAAGCAGGATTTAGGGAACACATGGAATTACATTCGAACGCTTCCACTGAATACTCTGCACATAAGGATATATAGATATACATACATTTATACTATAAGAATTACATCGAGAAATGTAAGGCGAATAGTTAAATAAACAAGATTGAACTAATCATGCTGACCTACAGTTGGAATAATGTTTACAATCCATGTGCAAAACGATAACTGGGAAGTGATTTTGAAGGGTTAAAATTAAGCTTATTTTATATGACATTCCAATTGCATCATTTCGATGAGCGATAATTGATCGGAGAACGAACGTGAATATATATCAAGTTTTGTGAAGTGAATAATACTGTGATTGATGGTAATAAAGACACTGTTTGAACGAGTTAAGTAAATCCTACTGATATATGACAATTTTTAATGAAACGGCGCTAGTACTAACTATGAGAGATTGTTAATATTATCATTGTTATTGGTTGATAAGTAAAGCATGTCAGGATCAAAATGACCGCCATTTCTTCTTGCACACAGAGATCGGGTTTACAATTCTAATTTTACAAGCGAGCACCTTCCTGTTACCTTGCCTGCTGACAATTGTGAATTGCTTTATGAAGTAGGTGTCATGTCCGCAGTCTACAAGATTCCTTCCTAATAAACAGTTTGGTACTTGGAATTCAGCCATACATAACTAACTTGGTTAACACTGCATCATTCAACTAGACAATCGCCTTTCCGTACGACCAACGCATTTGCTACAACAAACACGTTCAAAATGATACACGCAACTTTTAGTGTCGAGGATTGGCGATCATGACTTCTAAGATTGCAGCTGCACCCACTTTAGGATGTCGAGTAACGCGAGTTCTGTGGCATCGTAGGTTCTCCTGAGGGCCTCCTCAAGTCTCCGTTGGACCATATCCTGTGCATCATCTGATTTCAAGCGCACATTGATGTATACAGCTACTTTGGATTATATTTGGATAATTTTAACAAGGCTTTTTTCTTTAGGATATTCGTTGATGGACTAATTTTAGTTTGCATTCGAAGAGAAACTATCCATCAGGGACTCCATTTTATCTACAATGTACTGCCAGGTCAAGTTTTGAACAGTCTTCTTATATCGGATTGTTATTATATTCCACGTGTGTTGTTGTGAAGTAAAGATCATGATGTCATGAATTTACTTATGCTCATAAGTCTTCCGCTTTTGATTTGCTTTCACAGACAATCAAACTAGCATCTGCTAATCTAAGATGAATACCGTTTGTCGCATGTGCTGTCACGAAATACTGCTGCGTAGGCAGTAAATGGTTTGGTGAAGTTTAGGTTTTCGATTGCTAGACGCTGTGTTAGGAGTGGCCATTTCAACGAATGTCTTCATTTTAAAATACATCCTCTAACATTTTATAAGTCCTTTTGTAGAGACCGTCTGATACATACGCGGAGAAATCTTCGCCATGTAACGGAATCACACGGATACTCAAACATTTATGACTATGGTCGGAGATGCTTAATTGCCTCATTTCCTCGCCTTACAACAGTGAGACTCAAAACATAATTGCATTCACACAATGCGATACACCTACATGTCACCTCCCATTATTCCCTGTAATCAGAGGATACTCAGCTTGCAACTTGTTAGTATTTTATGCAGAGAAAAGTGCATTCAATTGTCCGCAGTTAATAAAATAAAAACAAGTGTCGTTCTAGCTGTAACTTTAAATAGTCTACAGAATTTTAGAAAAATATTCAAGTTTATTTTCCAGTGGCCCTCATATCTTTTTAATAAATTAATATCAACATTTCATTTTCTTCTTTTCTTCGTCTTTATCTGTTTGACCTCTATTCTGCGGTATCTTCCGTTTTGAATATTTTAAAAATATTCTCATCTAATTATCTTTAGTTAAGTCACGTTTATTTGGTCTAAATTAAGTAATGTAGGCAGTGTGATGCTGGGATGAAGCTTTGCTACTCTTCTACAGTTGATTTTTCTTTCTTTGATAGCTTGCTTGTTGTGCTGATATTTTTGCGTTTCTTTTTCTCTTGTGAATCCATTTCATACTCAGTTGAGTGCTTAGTTTGCCCATTCAGCATTCAGTGCATTCTGGTCAGTCTAATTTGTCCTCTCTTGTAAGCCAGAATGTAAGAGTACTTTCACCATTTCACATTATCACCATCTGAAATCTGCTTTACATCAGAAACACTGTTGAGAGTTTAGAAGACTTTCGTCGCGCTTATTGTAACCCACGAATCGACTGTTTCCGACGATTTCAATCAAATACATCCTCTAACATTTTATAAGTCCTTTTGTAGAGACCGTCCGAGACCTACGCGGAGAATTCTTCGCCATCTTACGGATTCACTGCGCTTCTCCCATCACTTTTATTGACTTACAGGTATGTTTTGAGAGCCAGACCCTTATGTGTCTCCTATTTCGTCCTAGAACTGTTGTACACGTTTCCTTGAATATCACTTTCAGTGAGTTGGTCACAAGATCTTCCACGCTGATATAATTAGAGAACTTCTACAGCGTTGTATAGTATAATTCCATTATGAATAATATTTATTTTGATAACGTCTCACAGTGTTACACAGCATTATTTTCTGATGATGTTTCAAGCACAATTTATTGGTCATAATCATATCAATGTGCTCAATCAACATTCCAATTTCGTTTTGATACTTGTAATATGATTATGAGCAATAAAATGTGCTTGAAACTTCATCTGATCATAATACTGTATAATACTGAGAGTCTTTATCAAAATTAATTTAACCCATAAAGGAATACTTCCACGCTGATTTCCTGACAAATACAACCTAGTGTCTCCAATATGCCCTGACCTGGTCTGAAGGCATCTATTGATGTTTTGTCCTTCAGTTTCTGTATGTTGAATTAGAATCACAGTGGTCTGTCTCCTGTTTCATTCAAGGATTTCAGTTACAACTTGGTGGTTCCTTCGACTAATTTACGGTCTGCGAAAAGTTATCCATTTAAATTCATTTCACCAAGAGAGATCCTCTCGACCCTAGATGAGTTCCCTTCTTATATTATCTGTTCTCATTTCGGCATTCATTCATATCGCTCATGAGGATTTTGATGTCTCTATTCGGGATATTGTACATCATTGCCTGTAGTTTTCTGTAAAATTGTATTTCTTCCATTGTTCCGTGTTGTTTGTGGCACTGTGCGTAGCATTGCATTATTGTGACCTTCCTTTCTGCCTATTGAGTTTAACGTTGCTCTCGTGATCCTGGATGGAATTGGTTCCCACTGCATTAGGGCATTGCCTGCACCTGGTGATATCATGACAGATACTCGCTGCAACAGTGTGCTCGTGGTTGTCGTGTGGGTGACCAGAATGGAGTAGATTACTGACTCTTCAGTTGAAAACCTTGACAGTCCATATGCATTCCGTCTGCTCTCGTAGATACCGGGCACTTACTTGCCATATCTCCTCACTTCTTCGGCTTTCTGGCCAGCCTTCTCAGCGTCGTACATTCAACGGATATTCCAAGTCCTCATTATTTTCCTTGCTTTCATTGAGTGTGAGAAGATATATCGGATAGCTGACTGGCTTACTGAAGGTTGGCTTTCACCAACCCGCTGTATTATTTCTCCTCTCCAAATCCAGCGAAGGATAAGTTTATTTTGAAATTGTTTTGTTTTCAAGATGTTTCTGTTGAAATAAATATTGAAACTGAGCACTGTGGTAGAGTATAACTCCATTATAAATACGATTTTATTTTGATAAATCATAAAGTGTTATACAGTAATATTAACTGAAGTTTCTGCAGTAGTCACGCAATTCGAATATAATAGAACAGGTGATGGGCTTCAACTACACATAATAACAAGGTAATGGGATATCCAACTCAAACTTACTAATATCGTTACTTCCGCAACTATAAGATATGAGAACGATTTCAAAAATGATAATGAAGAATTCGACATTGGTGAGCTAAAGTTTCAGAAGCATAGATCAGACCATCAGCAGGTATTCGCTTACATCCTTAATGGATATTTGTTTAGAAATGAAAAGTTTTAGGATCCTCACGATTTATTTGAAATCAGCCTACATGAAGCTACTTGTCACATTGTGACACGCATATGGTTAACCATTCGACTGAATGTTAATCCTACTCACTCAAATTTGTCCTAATGAAGAAGACACATCCAATCATCCAGCCCAACAAACAATTACTATTACAAAAACAAAACAAAACTACATTGCTCGAATGAACTGATGCTGTGCTCAACAACCATGAATAAAATAAGTTTATTTCGAGAGAGGATAAATCATGACATTGATAAAAAATATCGTCACTGCAAACATATAAATAGTGTGTCTTGGGTTCTGTGAAGAACACTTAGTTATGGAATCTCACATTATGCAACATTCAATCCACTACTGATTTGCAGTATTACGGGGAATGCGGTTGTTGATAAGAAAAATACATTTTGAATATTTCTCTACAATTTACGTCTTCACTGTAGTTAAGCTTCACCTTGACTGCCACTACCCTTACCATCAATGTCCTTCACTGACAACAAATGAAAACTGCCTGTGTAACCTACCTATCACAAGATGAGCAATCGTCTCTGTCCAATTGTCTGAGAAAATAGTGGCCTACAAATTGTCTTCACTCACCGCCCACAATGTTTCTGATTCGCTGGAGACTGAAATGATTTGCTATAAAAGACGAGGCAGTTGAGAAGGAAGTCATTCAGCAAGATGAAGATTGTCTACTTGATCTGGATTGCATCGTTGGTCGTCTTTGGAAGTGTTGGTGAGTTATTGTGAACTTGATAATTGCATTTCTTGCCCTGAGTGTTTTTCCAATTTTTTTGAGACGCGTATTCTATTTACAGTTGAAGGTGAAATGTTGCGTTGACTGAAGATGTATTACTTTGAGATGGATGGTGGTTTATTTGCGAAGCTCACGCTCAAGGTTACCAGGAGAGGTGACTAATAAACTCGTGGAGAAATCTTAAAGCTCACTTCAGATTACAGTATGCGCTGAAGGCGTTGCCTATTAGGACAATGTAAGCTTCGGAAATAAACCACCAACCATCTCAGAGAGTACAACAAATCAAAATCATTCACCTGAGCTACAAACCTTCTCCATCATACACATGTACTATATCGGCTATGTCAGCTGTTCAATGCGATTTTATAAATGTAGAGAAAAATCCGAAAACGGTGGAAATGTATGTGAAATCTTCTTCCAGTAGTTGGTCGTATAAACAATATTGGGTGTTCAAAAGTCGAATGTGTCTCACTATTTTGTTTTCGGAATCATACTCGGGCAATGTGCAATCAAAATATTCACTTTGTCACTGAATCCAAATTAAACGGTGTATACGAATGTGTCATGATACAGAGATTTCATGAATAGAGTGTATGTGTTCATGAGTGCGTAAAACTTGAAAGTGGAGTGCAGTAATAGCATGAGAATAAACAAATGCAAACATCTTATTCAGTCACATTTCACTTCCTCCCAACACATAATTACTGAGGTTATTGTTAAATACATCCAAATCAAGTTCACTCTTAACGGTTTGAAAAAATTTGGGCATTAGAAATATGATATTCCATAAAATAAAGAAGAATGCAATAATTCCATAATGCAATTACACTCTTTCACAGTGCACAATTTTTATTTTTATATCAAGAATGCATTAAGCAATTTCATTATGTAAACACACGCTGCGCTATTAATTTTACACGCTTATCAAATCCAACAACCTTCACCTGGTTTTGTTATCTTTTCCAATTGGCCAATTTGACAACGGAAAAATGACCGCATGCTGAGAAAAGATGATTACATTGTTTATATATAACCTGAGAATTCACAGGCGAAGTTCAGATAGATAAAGTGGAAGTGGTATGAGGGATTAATATTAGGATTTGAGTGGATCACAGTTCAGTCACATCACTAGAAGAAACAATCACTTACTAGGGAAAAATCTAGAAGATGTCAGAAATTATGAAGATTATAATAATAGTAAAATGAGTTAGGATTATGATGCTAACAAAAGATAGTTTTTATTCAGTCAAGAATAATAACAAGATTTTGGTAATTCCCCATGAATGGAAAACTGAACGGCGTTGTTTCTACTAACGTTTCGATTTATAATTCGGCTGATAGCTTTATCGAAGTGGTAATATTGAAGCAGAATTCGCGATACCTCGGCTTATACATCACAACTTAATCGTCTTTATTCAGCACACGAAATTCTTACGTTTTCAAGACCATTTTTTCAAGGAATTCACAGTCTGTTTGCGGTTATAAAATAACATGCACTGAAGAGTGATCCAATGTAATTTCCAAAATCCCCGTGAGAAATCATGATCATAATAAATGGACACTGTAGGTCATCTACTGAACCATTGAGCAGTCTACTTGAACTATAAAAGCTTGAAAAGACATAAGGTAGGTGCACACCGTACAGGAAAACATGCCGAATAATTGGTTTTGACAATTTTGAAATCATCTGGATAAATATAAGAAGTCAAAAAGAAGGTCTCACATCGGAACCAAATTATGTTTTATTTATTGCGAACTGCCTGAATGGAAATCATGGGTTAACATAAAACTTGAACTGGTTCCAACAACACCAGACTCGCCTCCCATGAAGTGTCTTCCACTTCTCAGATCCAGCCAACTGCACATAGTTTTGTTAACCTTAACAACTGACCAACCTAACAAGCCTAAACTTGCTTTATTGACATATATCCCTCTTAATAGACACCATTTTACATATATACATATCGTGAACTTATCTATTACCTTCGGGTATCCAGTTCTCTTGACAATCTAGAAACCGTCTTTAAGATATTGTTTTAGCATTTTACTGTGCAACAGTTGTAAAAGTTGTACGAATCATTCAACAGATAAATGGTGTAGTGATGTAGACATATCCAGGACTGCTCTATTCGGAAAGTCTCTTTCAGTTATCTTACGTAGATCATATAACGTGGATGCCCCAGCATCTCCAGATCACTGAATAAAGTCATTATTTTATTTAAATACTCAGTTTTATGTATGACAACAGCCATTATAACTTTATCATGTTTTCGTGAATTTCTGTATAGTCTCCTGATGTTTCATAGTTAAAATAATGTCCACATTGAATCCGATACTAATCTGTTTGTGACAACAGTCAACTAAAGACTCAATGATTCGTAAAGATTTCAGCATGCATTATGTTCCTAATACACAATTTCAAAAGTGTGCAGCGTGCTACTTAAATATATATAAGTAGTGTTAGTAGTGAGGTCTTCAAAACAAGGTAAAATGAAGGAATATGGCAAGAAATTCCGATAATACACGATAGATAATCAAGGATAGATACATTTTTAAAACAGAGTAGTTGACGTTATTCTAAGATTGTACAATAATTGGCAGATCAATTTTGTCCGTAAATATGCAAGATGGACGACAACTACAGGTCTAAACTTATCTAATTCGATATTATCTTCCACAACAGCTCAACATGAGCTCATGAGCCAGCATGATATTCAGCAAATGATCTGTAATAGATAAGATCGGCGGCTTACGTAAGTGACAGTGTCACAGTTATGGTTTTCGAACCAGTTGGTGTAATTGATGAGCCATCGATTGTCTTTTAAGACAATATATTGAGGACAGAGCACAATATGAAAACGTGGCCACTTAACTACCCAGATCGAAGAACACAATTACACCGAATAATTTGTGCTCATAAAGTAGAATACCATAAGTGAAAGCGATCACTTCCTTCACTTATCTCGGCAACATCTTACCAACTACAGTAAATTAATATGGATGAGAATGTCACAATCAAAATTGGAATCGCAAGTTAGAACCTAGTCGCTACAAAACCAGTTCGGAAAATTTCCAACAATCTTCTAACATCGATTGTGTAAATTTGGCAGGACTTCTGAGGTAATATTACTTAAATCAAATAGAAAATTTATTGATTAGCCCTGTCGTCCACCTGAAGATTCTGGGTTCAATCTTCCCGGGCAGAGATGAGGTGAGGTTCTATGGGTGTCACATGGATTGGAGTAACTGTTAGAACGAGGACAATGCTCTAGTTCAACGCATATACATGTGTGAGGACCACTCACATATCAGAATCAAAATCTGTTGTAAAAGAATAAATTTCATTGCGAGATGACAGGGACACGTTGGCTCGACAAGAAAGCTCTGGAAGATCGGGACTTCATGGAGGATTTATGTCTAATGTCGTACAAACTAGATGATCTACAGGTGAAAACCAACAATTTGGCCTTAGTAGCCAGCAGGTTTCCCAGTGAAGATAGATAAAACAGAAGTTAAGCCAACAAAAATAAGCAGCCTTCACTTTAAACTGAGAAAATTTGAAGGAATTCACCTCTTCAGCTTATCTAAACATGATTGTTACAGCTACAAGAGGATGTGAATAGAATGATTGGAAAAGCAGCATAGACATTCATTACTCTGTAATCAGTGAGTAAATATATTACATTCAGACTTAGGGGCAAGATTAGCATCTTCAGCATTTATGTCACATAAATGCTTCTTATGAACTACAGACTTGGCACGTGAGTGACGGGAAATACTTCAGATGAGCTGCATATTTTCATGAACAGCTGCCTTCTCTCAGTAGTGAAGAATACATAGTCAGAGAGTATTGGAAGTAGGAATGTCTGACAACCAATCAACGAAGACAGTATAATCCAAAAATTTCCGTGGGCTTGTTTCACACAGCATTGTCGACGCGGTATAGGAATCCTAGCAAGTTTAAAGGTATTGAATATAATGTTCTCTTTACATGATATGGTTGGGGGAAAACCAAAGTGTACAGCAGTCATCGAGATAAATTGGTGTTTGCAATTTTAAGAGTAAAACAAAGAATCAACTCGACAATAAATATAATTGAAATAATAAAACTTGAAGGTATATATGGATTATAATTATTATATTATTATTGTTCCCTTGGGCTTCAACTGCACGCCTCCACTTGCTTCTGTCTTGTGCTGTACTTTTCACTTGCGTCCATGTTATTCCATACTGTTTCATCTCCTCCTCACACGATCTCCTCCATTTCACCCTATGACGTCCCACTCGCCGATTCCCTTTCGGGTTACACTCGAGGGCCTGACGCGCGATGTCACTCAACGGCCTCCTTAGCGAGTGTCCGATCCATCTCCACTTCCTCCTGCATATTTGTTGGGCGATTGGTTCCTGTTTCGTTTGTTCCCATAGCTTCTTGTTTGTGATTCTTTCCGGCCATCTAATCTTCAGTATGGAGCGAAGACAGTTGTTGATAAAGGTCTGCAACAGGCTGTTCGAAATATTCTTTGTGACCCGCCAAGTTTCTGAACCGTAAAGCAAAATTGACTTCACGTTTGTATTGAAAATCCGAATTTTGTTGTTGATGCTGAGTGACGAAGACTTCCAGATTAGTTTCAGGTTGATGAATGTGTTTCTCGCCTTCCCGATTCTCGATTTGACATCCTCGTCCGTTCCTCCTGTAGTTGAGACAATGCTCCCTAGATAAGTGAAATAAGTAACCTCTTTCAAATCCCTCCTGTTGATGGTGATTGGCGCTGGATGTTGCTGCTGCTGTTGTTGTTGTTGGTTGGTTGGTTATTTTCATAACCTCCGTCTTGTCTATGTTCACCTGGAGTCCTGTCCTGTGTTTGCTGCTTCTTCGACCAGTTTGTCGGTTTTCGCTTGTAAGTCTTCGATTTTGTGTGACATCAAACATAAATCATCCGCAAAATCCAGGTCTTCTAGGTTCTTCACGTCGGTCCAGGATATCCCTGTCTTCTCGTTTCCCACTGTCTGACGCATAATCCAGTCCACCACAATTAGGAATATCATTGGTGATAATAAGCACCCTTTCCTGACTCCTGTGTTCACTCCAAACGCTTCGCTGAGTTTTCCTTTGTGGATCACTTGACTTGTGCTGTTGTCGTACAGTTGTTGAATAAGGTTGATGAATAGTTGGGGTACGCCGTAGTAATCGAGTAGTTTCCAAATTATTTCGTGGTCAACGCTGTCGAAGGCCTTCTCAAAGTCTATAAAGTTGAGGTAGAGGTTTGATTGCCATTTCATGCTTTGTTCGATGATGATGTTTAGATATGCAATTTAGTCAGAACATGATTTGCCTCTCCTAAATCCAGCTTGTTCTGGTCGGATTTCTGTATTCAGTGCGTCCTTTATTCTCTCCAGGATGATGCGACTCAGGATTTTACTTGGCGTCGACAGGAGCATGATTCCTCGCCAGTTCTTGCAGAGTCCTAAGTCGCTCTGCTTTGGTAGTTTCACGAGGTAACCTTTCCTGCAGTCAGTAGTCACCTTTCCCTCTTTCCAGATCTTTTGCAATAATGGAGTCAGCATATCTGCTGTCGTTTCTGGGTCCGCTTTCAGTGCTTCCGGGGGTATTCCACCTGGTCCAGCTGCTTTTCCAGCTTTCAGAAGCTTGATTGTATTCAAGACTTCAGCTTTCGTTGGAGGACTGGTGTCAACTTGCAGTTGTGTACGTGCTGTTGTTGGTACTACTGGACGGGTTGTAGGTGGTGGTCGATTCAAGAGTCCTTCGAAGTGGTCTGCCCATTGTTTAATCTGTCTTTCTTCTTTGGTAATTGGGTTCCCTTGGCTGTCTTTTATAGGTTTCACTTGTGTTGATCTCTTCCCGGATAGAGACTTCGTTATCTGATATAGTGTCCTCAGGTCCCTTTTGCCTGCTGCCTTCTCAGCTTCAGTAGCCAGGTTGTCGTAGAATTGTCTTTTGTCCTTCCTGGTACTCTTCTTCACTTCTTTGTCCAGTACTGTGTAAGTTGGGCTCAGCGTCTCTTTCTCTTGTCCATCTTTGCATTGAATCATTTTCTCTTTCACCATTCTCCTCTCCTCTATTAGCTTCCAAGTGTCTGTTGAGAGCCATTCCTTGTCTTGTTTCTTCTTTCTTCCTAAAACCGTTGTACATGTTTCGTTGAAAATTACCTTCAGAGAGTTCCAATGGTCTTCCACGGATGATTCCTCAGTGGCGCCACGTAGTGTTTCCTGCTTTGCTCTGACAGTTGCAGTGAAAGTGTCCTTTGTGGTTGTGTCCTTCAGTTTTTGCGTGTTGAACTTGCATTGTGGCCTATCCCCAGCTATCCTCGAGGCTTTCAGCTTCACCTTGAAAGTCCCTTGTACTAGATAGTGGTCTGAACGCACATCTGCTCCTCTCCTCGATCTTGTGTCCAGTAGGCTCCGTCTCAACTTCATTGAGATTGAAATAAAGTGTATCTGGTTTCTGGTGTGTCCATCTTGTGAAATCCATGTTGCCTTGTGTATATCCCTGTGTTTGAACACACTGCCACCAATCACCAACTCATTGAAGGCGCAGAAGTCTGAGAAGAGTTCACCATTTTCGTTCATTTCACCGAGGGCCTCACGACCCATGGTGAGTTCTCTTCCTGTATTGTCTCCTCCCAGTTTCGCATTCATGTCGCCCATCAGGATTTTGATATAGCTCTTTGGGACGTTGTCCATTACTGTTTGTAGTCGACTGTAGAAATCCTTCTTCTTCTCATGTTCTGAGACGTTTGTACGGCGTAGCATTGAATGATTGTAACCTTTTTGCCTTTTGAGTTGAACCTGGCTGTCATTATCCTGGAGGAGATTGGTTCCCACTGCATGAGAGCTTTGGCCGCTGTTGGTGACATCATGATGGCTACTCCCTCGGTGTGCTCGTGATCGTCCTCTGGTTGACCAGAGTAGATTATTGTCTCTCCAGTTGATAGTTGGCACCTTCCACATCCGTTCCATCTGCTCTCGCAGATTCCCAACACTTCTATGTTACATCTCCTCATTTCTGCGGCTACCTTAGCAGCTTTTCCAGTTTCGTACATTGTACGAATATTCAACGTCCCCATCTTTATTTTTGCTTTCATCGAAAGAAGGCACATCGGCTGACTGGCTTCGCGAAGGCTTTCACCAGCCTGCGTCACTTCAATTCCCCGATTCCAGCGAAAAATAAGTTCACTATTTGTAATTTTAGAATTTTGAATATATTTGTGCGTTGAAGTTTTAGTAGCAATTTGGTTAAGTTTTGGGGGTGGAGTTGCTAGCACCACGCATCAACCCTCCCTCATTATCCAGGCTTGGGACCGGCTAGAATACTAGTGACCTAGTAATCTAGGCGAGGTTTATATATGGATGGATGAAGGAAATTGTTTATTTACTAGATGAAAAAGGTTAGTAAATTCTTGCTTGACACTATTTACATCACACTAAATACGAGCCAAGTGTGGTGTCATAGAATTTTTATAAGTGTGAAAAATATGCAGTGATTGGATGGAGGTGTGAAGACGCTGAAAAAATTAATGTGTTTGAAAATTAGAACAAGAACAAAATTCCAATGAAATAACAGGAAAATCAATATTCAAAAAAGCATATGAATGTCATTAAAACCGAAAACAATTTGCCATAATTGATGAAGAAATTTTCCCGTTTCCAAATTATACTTCTCTATTTCTGTCTAACTGAAACACTTCCTCTCCCTTTTCAACCACAGGAACACGAGGAGTGACCACCAGGTCAACTGAGAGATACGAATGGGAGACGTATTATGATAACGAAACAAAACAATCAGGTGAGTGAGTTCATTATGCACCCAACACTCGCCATCTCCACTCCTGTCAATCCGCCACCTCAGCATTCATAATCCATCCAGCAGTATGCATCAACCACCATCGACTTCACTCGGCCTACCACACAAGCAAACACAAAAGCCTACAAACAAACAGACAAACAACACAGAAAAAATAACTGAATAACTAACCAAGTGACCAACTAACTAGAGATGACAGCCAGCCCAAATTCAGTCAAACACAGCAAAATCGATGAATTCAAGTGAAAAATGCTCGCGGAGACACACTGAAGCGGACATAATACACCACATCACAACACAGGGCCACACAACACGCAACAGCACAAAATTAACACAAAACAACACAACACAACATATTCACTGAAATTCCTTAGTCAACATCACTCATCATTCAGGCTTGAATATGTCGCTAACCCCTTCCACCATTCGGGCATCACTCATAAGGAAATGTTCCCCTCTACCAGTCTATAACTCTCTATTTTATTTTCACTGCCCACTCCTTCTCCCTCTTCGTCCACAGAATCACAACCAGACTCAGATCAGTCAGGAAACACTGAGTCATATGTCTACGATGAACAGTTGACGAACAACCCTCAATTCGAGTCAGAAACACCAGGTGAGTGAGTTCATTATGCACCCAACACTCGCCATCTCCACTCCTGTCAATCCGCCACCTCAGCATTCATAATCCATCCAGCAGTATGCATCAACCACCATCGACTTCACTCGGCCTACCACACAAGCAAACACAAAAGCCTACAAACAAACAGACAAACAACACAGAAAAAATAACTGAATAACTAACCAAGTGACCAACTAACTAGAGATGACAGCCAGCCCAAATTCAGTCAAACACAGCAAAATCGATGAATTCAAGTGAAAAATGCTCGCGGAGACACACTGAAGCGGACATAATACACCACATCACAACACAGGGCCACACAACACGCAACAGCACAAAATTAACACAAAACAACACAACACAACATATTCACTGAAATTCCTTAGTCAACATCACTCATCATTCAGGCTTGAATATGTCGCTAACCCCTTCCACCATTCGGGCATCACTCATAAGGAAATGTTCCCCTCTACCAGTCTATAACTCTCTATTTTATTTTCACTGCCCACTCCTTCTCCCTCTTCGTCCACAGAATCACAACCAGACTCAGATCAGTCAGGAAACACTGAGTCATATGTCTACGATGAACAGTTGACGAACAACCCTCAATTCGAGTCAGAAACACCAGGTGAGTGAGTTCATTATGCACCCAACACTCGCCCTCTCCACTCCTGTCAATCCGCCACCTCAGCATTCATAATCCATCCAGCAGTATGCATCAACCACCATCGACTTCACTCGGCCTACCACACAAGCAAACACAAAAGCCTACAAACAAACAGACAAACAACACAGAAAAAATAACTGAATAACTAACCAAGTGACCAACTAACTAGAGATGACAGCCAGCCCAAATTCAGTCAAACACAGCAAAATCGATGAATTCAAGTGAAAAATGCTCGCGGAGACACACTGAAGCGGACATAATACACCACATCACAACACAGGGCCACACAACACGCAACAGCACAAAATTAACACAAAACAACACAACACAACATATTCACTGAAATTCCTTAGTCAACATCACTCATCATTCAGGCTTGAATATGTCGCTAACCCCTTCCACCATTCGGGCATCACTCATAAGGAAATGTTCCCCTCTACCAGTCTATAACTCTCTATTTTATTTTCACTGCCCACTCCTTCTCCCTCTTCGTCCACAGAATCACAACCAGACTCAGATCAGTCAGGAAACACTGAGTCATATGTCTACGATGAACAGTTGACGAACAACCCTCAATTCGAGTCAGAAACACCAGGTGAGTGAGTTCATTATGCACCCAACACTCGCCATCTCCACTCCTGTCAATCCGCCACCTCAGCATTCATAATCCATCCAGCAGTATGCATCAACCACCATCGACTTCACTCGGCCTACCCCACATGTAATTTTAAATGTCTCGCAATTTCAGACGTGTAACCCAGATGATATTGCTTTTTACCTCATCTACTGATCTTTCAACTCATATCACATCGAACCTAATTTCATTATGAGTGTTTGTTTCGATTCGGTATGGTGTTTCACTACATTCTTTGTGTGTTTCTTCAAGTTCGTTTTTCGCTCTTATTAAAATTTCTAAGTTTTACTTTTTTTATTTCATTTTTTTCACAAGATCAATGTAATTTTTATTTTTTTCTCATTTGATATTTTTTTTATTTTGAACCACATCTCTCACATTCTACGTTACTAATATTGGTAGCTTAATTGTTATCGTTTTGAAGAGGGAAAGAAGGAACATGTTTGCAGGATAATACGAGCTCGTTTTATTTCGTGGATTCTCATCAACTGCATACATCCTAAACAAAATCAAATTATAGGTTTCAAGAAAGTTGTGGAGCATACTTTTTCATAAATTCTTTGAGTTATAGGTAGAAGGCATAAGGAACATAATTCCAGAATTTGATGTAGGTAGACAGATTATTCGGTGTCAAAAGACAACTAATTATATATTGTGGAATTAGATAAGAGGGGTAAGAGTTCAGATTTCTATTGGAAAACAACACAGATTGGTTAGAGGCATATTACAGGGTCAGGGTCAGAGAACAAATTTACACATCTTGTGGTGGAGAGTTTAAGAGGGTGGGGGTGAATAGTGAAGTAACATTTAAAACTTAAACAGACAAACAATTAAGTGGATTTAGAAACTTGAAGGTCAAAATTGAATAGAATGTTACGTAACAAGACAAACACACAGGGATACTGACAGAAAGGCAAAACAAAAATAAAATAGAGTTAGGGTCACCCAGGTAGTGAAAGATTAATCACACTATCTTTCTGTTTACAAATGTCTGGTCGAAATCTCTTGATAGCAATGGCTTCTGCGAAGCGAAGTAGCCGTGGGTTTCTTTGTGTATTGATTATTTTGAAGGCTTGGCTGATTTCTACTGTGTGTCCTGTGTCAATTAGATGTCTGGCGATTGCACTTGATAACATTTTTCTTCCTTTTGTACGGAGACTCTTGGGAATGTGCTCAGAAAATCTAGTAGATGCTGTCCTCTCAGACCTTCCTATGTACTTGCTACCGCAGGTGCATGTGAATTGGTAAATGCAGTTGGAGTTGACGTGAGTAGGGAACTCATCTACTTTTGACTGGGTTAACGAGCACACAGTGTTGTGAAGTAGGATCAGTCTAGCGGCTGGAAACGTTTTTTTTAATGCACCTGTGATTCTTTTTTGTGTTCTTGTGGATATGTCGTCCCCTTTGTACGCTAGACAGATGAAAACTGGTTTCTTTTCAACGGTGTCGGGTTTCGGTTTGTGTACTTCTTTATTTCTATATTTTAATATGAACTTTCGAGATCATCGAAAAGAACCTTATCGAGAATGGATATCATTCATTGCAATTTTTAGATATTTTTTGATTGGTGTGTTTTTCTTAACAGCATTTGCTTGAGTCTCATTTGAGCCATTGTCTTCCATTTTATTTTCAGATGATGAAAACAAGTTGGATACTCACTGTAAGAGTTTGCTACATTTTGTCACAGTGATCTCTTCCATGCAATAGGCTTTTTACTGACAGACTATTATTGGCTGCTGGAGACGGTTTTGTGGATTATCTCTTTTACGCTTTACAAAAGCAGTTTAGCTTTCGTTCACAGTGTCCTGTCACAACATTTTCCTAGTTTTGCCTCATCTTCTACTTGTGACGGTAACAGGTCTTAGTTAACAATGGACTGTGATGGTGGATTTTCTGCATTTATGTGAATACTCGTTGTAAAGAGATTCGGATGTATTCAACTGATTGCCTGTTGTAAACACCGTTTACTCAGGAATACATCATTCAACGAAACGTTGGAATTACTCATTTCACTCTCGCTGAGATTTTACAAATATAATTTTTACAAACGCTAACGTCATTCCACTGTAGAAAAATGAATACCAAAATGATCATTTTTAGAGGTTGTAGGCATAATTTGACAAAATTGAATATTCAAGAACAATTTCATCTCTTAGTAGTAAAATGCATCGTGAGATAAGCGTAACTTTTGATTAGGGAAACTTTTGTTGTTTGTTTGTGGACTTCAGAAACAGTTGAATCAGTCAATTATCTGATTTGTTATATACAAGAGAATTTTATTTTTGTGTGTGTGCTTATGACTTGGTGAATGAAGGGTTTAATAGCTCGAGGGAAATATTTTACTCCATTTCAGATGATCTGAATTCAACACTGGACGCATACGCAGATTCATACCGTGAAGCTGTGGATTATAAATGTATGTGTTTATTTCACAGGAAATCATTATATGTTTGTCTCTTCACTTTAGACTCTTCTATAACGATCAGTGTTCACATTCTCTTACTACTTATATCGCTTGCCTTGATTTGTAGACGGCTAATTAACCAATTCAATCACTGACAACAATGAGTAGCTTTCAAAAATATCTTCTACACTGCTTATCTCCGTCTTTATTCGGGGTGATATATTTCTCATTTCAACAGATGTATGTTATGTCATCTAAATGTAATAACATGCAAATCATTCTAGTAAAGTAGAACAGGAAATTGGTGCTTCAACGCGAGTGATAGTGCTTCATCTATTTCAGGAAACGGAGGACAGGCACACTACATGAATAATTAGTTACACACAGATAGAAAGCCTGATTTTATGTTGCCTGCAGGTCGACATTTATTCTGTCAGAACTTTTATTCAAGCAATTATTTGTTTTAGTTCGCATGACTGAAATTCAGACATTCAAAGATCGCTGGAATTTCAAAACAATAATAAAACCTGGTGAGTAATTTCATCAAATTCTCTACATGGCTGCATATGAATAACAATGAACTAATTATTCTCATTTTGAGTCCTAAGAAATATACGTAAACAGTGAAGAAAATTTTCTTTTCAACGATTCATTTTCATAAGCTGTACGATGGTAATTACATCAAACAAAGAAATCATAAGACCGATGGGATACTGGTAAAATTTGTCTCCTAGCTTACACACTGCATCACGTATTTCCACTATACGAGGGCAAATTTTACCAGTTTCTGGTTGATCTTTTGATTTCCTTGTTAAATATAATTACAACTTATGAAAAGAATCGTGAGAAAGAAATTTTTACTAGCCTTTTAAGTCTTTTTCAAATAAAAGTCAGGCATGAATATATGGTCAGGTCTTTTTTCGATCAATAGTTTATTTCATATTTCATGCATTCCAATGAATCAAAGATGCACACTTGTGATGCTTTTGAGGATGACTGAGTATCTCGTTTGTTTGTTATCATGTGATGGAGATGAAATATACCTCTTGGTCTATGCGTGATAAAATCTAAGGTAACAGAACAACGCTGACTGATTCTAATGGTTGAAATAACGTCTGTATAGGGTGTGGCAGGAAAACGTTTGTATCACTCACCTTCCTTCTCTACTACTGCATGAACTGTCATCCCTGTCTGGTGATTTAAAGCAGGTTACTGAAACCCATGAACTCACTTGTGGGTGTAGTAGAAGATTCTCTGTATAAATAGGATACTGGTGGAAGCGATTTCGGGTGGAAATGGGATCTAAGGCTTATTGTTGCCTACCGCTGTTCCAGCCACTCTTAGCATCTTTTCCAGAATATTTTTATTACTCTCCTGAGTTTCAGGTGGAAAATTAGAGCTCAAATGCGCATCTCCATACTATCCTCCTCTCTTTGCAGTGCATTGTAGGTGGCTGCACAACTGGCCAATTAACCTGTATTTTCCTCCCACACAAGCTCCACAATGTCACCACCACTCACCTCCTCTAGAACACTAACGTACCATTAAACGGACTGGAGTGTGATATCAGTCAACAGTTTCCTCAATTTAACATACATTTAACATACACTTTCAATTCCTTCAACATATTTGTTGAGAAGTAGGTGCATAACTGGTTTGTCAACAGACTTCTTTATGCCAATGCTTTCTAACATCATTACCTTCAGTAGTGAGGCATCAAAGTCAGGTGTTTACAAAAGTCTTTTGTAAATGTTTTTATCGACAGGATTAGCCTCTGAATCATGTAGAAGCATTGGTTTGACGTCAGTGTTTAAGACCCCTAATTTGCCCCCTTATACTGGGTGAAATAAACTCGCCTACTTACTTGAAAGCGAAGAAATTCGGTCTTGCTTTCCCTACCTCAGGCGACTGCGATGCCGTCAAGTGTAGTTGAAACAGTGCTGCCTGGATAAGTATAAGAAATGACTCCCCTCATATTTCTGCTGTTGCTGTTTGTTGGTTGGTAGGTTAGTTAGGTTCAATGCTTCTATTTTCTGTATACTCACTTGAGGACGTATCTTCGATGGCTGATTCATATGACAAAGTGTTAGTCACGACCTGCAGATCTTAGAGTTCGTGCGAAACTCACATAAGTCGTCGACGAAGTTCAAACATTCTTCAGTCTGCTTGTTGCACGAACGTATGATCATCTTCTTGCTGCTCACGGTCTTCCATATGACACAGTCCCCCAAATCCAGAAGTACAATCTGCGATAAGCCTCACTGAGATTTACACTGTGGATCTCTTGGCATTTGACATATTCACATAGCTGTTAGGAGCACTGCGCTTCGTAGTTTCCAATGCTGTCGTGGGACTTTCCAAAGTTGATAAAGTTGAGATATTTATTTGATTACAATCCTGTACTCTCCTCGATGATGAGGCATAACATTGTGATTTGATTCGTACATAAATTACTTTTCCTGAATCCAGTTTGTTATTGAGGGAGTTTCGCTTCACAACGTCATTTAGTCTCTCCAGGATGACACGAGCCAATATTTTGCTTGTATTGGGTGCAAGCATTAATCCCCGTACAATTATTGCAGAGTCACCTTCTCTGTAAGTCTGACAAGGTAGCCTATCCTTCCGACAAGCCTGCAACTTTCCTTCATCTAAAATGCAATGTGCCAGTGACGTGAGTATATCTAATAAGTTCCTTTCAATGGAATTCCATATGGTTCTGTCACCTTCCAGACTTCAAGTAACATTATGGTATTCGACATTTTTGATATTTTGATTGGATATTAGTAATTAGTGTGATGTGCCCAGTCCTTTCTTTGGTGCAGGATGAATTCTGTCATTCTTGTTTGTAACGTGGCCAACATTCTAGGTAGCTCGCCATTACGGTTATTTGATGATATTAGATGGTTGGAGGCAATAGACAGAAAGCCTACGTTCGTGTTAGTCGGCAGTCGACAGCAAGGCGCATCTGCAACCTGCTTGAAGGTATTCATGTCCCTTCTGAGATTTGAACCCACATCACCTATTGCTGCAATAAGAGAGACCTGACCACTGAGCTATTGGGGCTCGCAGTTGATCCCCTGTAGTACTGTAGTGGATACTTTGATTGGAATTTAGTTACTAGTGCAGAAGCACTGGGTGACGGGGGTTCAAATCTCAGAAGAAACATGAGTACCTTCAAGCTGGTTGCAGATACGCCATGCTGTCGACTGCCAACTAACACGAACCTAGGCTTCCTGCCGATTGCCTCCAACCATCTAATATCATCAAATCAATGTGCACCGTGATGGTGAGCTACACGGAATGGCGGCCACAATGTAAACCTGACTTAAAGAATTCAGTCTACACCAAAGAAAGACTAGACATATCACACTAGTTACAAGTATCATATCAAAATATCCACTACAGTTCTACAGGGGGTCAATTGCAAAACCGAATAGCGTTAGGTGACGTGGGTTCGAATTTCCGAAGGTTGTTGACGAGGGCGACCTAGATCGAAGGCATCCTGACAATTGCCTCAAACTATCTAATATCGTCGAAAAGTTTGCTTTTCAAGTGTTGGTTTGTGGGGATTTGATTGGTTACAGGACTTAATCATGAGCTGATATTGGTTAGAGAAGAGTCCTAAACTAGGAAGAAACAGCTGTCCAGTCCAGTCCAGGTTTTCCAGTAGTTCTCTAATGTTTTCTTTTTTTGAAGAATTGATATTCACTTCGAGTATCGTGTCTGCTGTTGATGGTATTTCTGGACAGTTCGCAGGTCGTGGTTTTTTAAGTGTTTACATCGTTCCTCCACTTTTCCGTCTATCCTCTTTGATGTCATCGCTGTTGACTTCTTGGAGGATAGCTACATGTTGAACTGATGTAGTAATCTGAGGTCTTTCTTCTCTGCGACATATTCCGCTTCACTCACCAATCTGTCACGTCTGATTCTCTTATCGATTTTATGTCCAGAATGCTTAATCATCACATTCCTGAGATTGAGATGATGATCATCTGATATTTGGTTTGTGAAATTCATGAACCATATGTCAGTTCGTGAATGTTGCGCTGTTACCTGCAGTGAACGACTGAGTGAAGTCAGAGAAGTATACGAAGGGTCCACCATCCTCATTTTTTCACCCACAACCTCTTGACCTACGAAGGATCGCTTTCTATTCTTGTTTGCTTCCATTTTCACATTCTGATATTGCTATTTGGTTTTGCGTGAACTACTTCTTACAAATGTCAGTAGAATTCTTCTCTCTTCTCTTGGTCCAGGTAGCTTGTAAAAGAACGGCACTTGAATCCCGTTTTTTTATTAAGTGTTGTGTGTTTGTGAGTGCATGAACCTTTATTTGAATCGAGTGACAAAACAAGTGAACAATTTAGACTGTTTTAGCTGGCGGAAAGTGAGACACTGAAGTGTTACCACCATCTGCGAAGGGAAATCATTGTTCATTTATTCCCTATAATTAATTTTGATAAAGGCTGTATGCAGCTGATGACAAGCTAACGAAATAAATGATGGTGCATTTTATTCTGCAAAAACTGCTGTTCTCGCTTTATTCGAAATTATTGTACTCAAACAATATAAGGAGACAATGTATAGTGTCCAAGATTACAAAAATGCTGTCAAAACAACGTCACACGTGAAAATAAACACAGTTCCTTGTTTTGTGTGGAACACAAAAACTGAAATGAATCACTAGGAAACGAATAAACAAAGTATCAGATGCATTTCAAGATCGAAATTTGAGTTTATGAATGGTCAAGTGGATGCGCGTTGATTCACAAAACTCCTGGTTCATTCTACTAAACCTCATATATTCCAATGCCTACTTCTTCGGTAAATTTAACAGTAGCCAGCATTTCCATGCATGGCATATTCCATGAGAATTGCAGTGATTTGTCGAGTTATTATTCTGCCATCAACCATAAGCCAATACTCAAACACGCAAGACTTTCATCATCGAATAGTTTCAAAGGACTGATCATGGGCACGGAATTTCCCCTACTTGTGATTTGAAGCTGAATATGCCTAGATAAAACTGTAATAAACAAGAGAGACGTAAGTGTACTGCTGACTGTTCAGGGTTACTCACAGTGCATAACACAAACAATAACTGTTGTCCTCAAACTTCAACATGCAAGGGCAGGGAATAAAATAAGAAGCGCTTTATTAACTTGAGCATAAGAGGGTGCAGAATCACAAAGACGAACATTAAATAGGGAATAAGAAATATATGCTAAGCATCATTTCAATAGTCAAAATTCTCATTTGGACATTTGGAGAACCGAAAGATTGAGCGAGGAAATATTTACTTTTCAATTAAATCCTCATCTGTGGCTCTAACTTAATATATATATATAGCATTTTTGTTATCAAGCACAACAGTTTACCAATCAAGCTGCGATAGGATGAGGATCTAATTAAAAAGTAAATATTTCTTCACTCAATCTTTCTGTTTTCTAAAAGTAAATATTCTCTCAACAAATAACCGGTAACAATCAACATTACTGTATGCCTTAATATTGTGTTTTTTACACTTTAAACAGAAATCCTGAGACTTGAGAACTTATATCAAAGTAAATGGGCGAAGGAATTTCTCGAATGTAAGTCCTGTCATTCGCGCATTCGATTCTTCTTTGTTTCTGAAATGATCTGTCTTTTGAATTAAGGCATGATCTTTCTCTGAAGTTAGATATTTTGGATTGAGAATTGAGATGAATTGCGGTGTCATTGGTGATGACCAAAGAATCAAATTATTGAACAAATAAATCTTGGAGACTTGTCTCCAGGTGTCAGTATCACAGAAAATTCTTTCAACAAATAGTCTGCAATATTTTATGGAGAAACTTCGAGTTGAAGAATGAATTTCATGTACACACTATGCAAATTATTCCAGTACACATATAAGCGGTGACTACATTGGGCCATCTGCAGAATGAATGCTCTTGACTCACGTTTCAATATTCTTTCCAATGCAGAGACAGTACAGTCTGATGGATAATTTATGTAACGCCTCGAACAAGTTGCCATGTATTTGATATAAAAACAAACAGCTTCTTTGTTTCGCTTTGCTTTGTTGTACTTTTCATGTCTGAAAAACCCTCAGTTTTCTTACTGTCCCCGAGTGCAAGAAAATATTTTCCCAAAAAATTATCTACACTTTTACAGCAATCGGTGCAAAAGATAAGAAGCTGGTTAATGTTTCTATTGGTGGGTTATTTCTTCTTAAATTAATAAACAGAATGAATGTAATAAATCATTTGGTATCTGAAGACAAAAACACTATGTTACTGTTTGTGGAATGAAAGTCAGCTTGAAATCATTTCGTGTGATAGATGTCACTAAAGGTGTTTGTATTGTTTTTTATTTGGCAAGACTAACAAGTGAAGCCGTTATCACCCATCTATACTCCATAGACATCTCAAGTTTATTTACACTACTTCGAAACTTAGATAACTTATTTCTACTCTATTTTCATAAAATATTGGATAGTTAAATAAATCCAGTTATTTAATTACACTATGAAATTACTACTGTTGTTTGTTCTCTGCCTTCCTGGGTGAAGCATCGAGATGCTCAGTTCCGAAGCTATTCTCAAATGATTTAGTCCAGAACAATACCACAGAAATACCATTGGTGATTGTAGATGGATTTGTCTTAATCTAAAGTGGTTCCTATGAACTTTCTGCTTAAAAGTGTTTCCCAAGTGGCATAATCCTATGCCTGTTAAATAAGATACATCAGAGTTTACAGCACTTAGCAGTGTCGGTAAGGCAAACAAGTTACTTCACAGTCAACTTTGTCGAAAGTTTTCTCATATTCCGTGAGGACAACTTAAACAGTTGACTGCTATTCTAGCCTATGAATGACGACAATTTGAAGTTGTACAGTGAGATTCGCTCATGATTTGTCTCCCTTCAACTCATACTCATTCTACCAGTGACATTCATCCATGATATCTGCTGAGACAGATGTGCGTAACTATTCTAAATGAAAATGACTATCTGTTTGTTGTGAAAACTTGATACTGTACGTAATGTCATTTGTTTATAAATGAAATCAATTCGCACTTTCCTACTATCTAAGTGTACAAATACACGCTACAGATTGTTGACTATTTGAGTAATAAAATATGCACCAAACAATTCTTCCTTTCTCTATAGATGAATACAGGAAGGCACTGGAAGAAGATACCTCTTTTAATTACAAAGTTCTCGGTATGATTGATTTCTTCACTAAAAGTTGTAATACCACTTAATCTAAAAATCATCGGTTCGCTGAAATTAGGTGACCAGTGCTGTGTTGAATGTACATAAGATTTTGAACTGGTGTTTTGTGTCAAGTCATTATTTCAACCTTTAATCATACTTGCTCTTCATCCACGTCAATCGCACTTTGCTACCTAAACATTTTTGAGTGAAATTACCTGAGGATAAATCTGATCGCCGTCAGGACATTTCTTACCAAAGTAGACCGCTCTTTTTTTGTTCCTTATAGTGATTTGTTACTAAGATCCATTGTTCCAGTAATATTCAGAAGATCTCCAGCTTATTTGTCTGTTGATTGATGGCATTATCGTTTCAACTGATGATTATTTTCATAGACTGCATATATGCGGTCATATTGCTTCCTCCTCCTACAAAATACTGGTCACATTCACAATTGTTATACATGGCTTAGGTGAAATCGGTGGTTGATACATGATATTACGCTAAGATCTTTTAGATGCCTAAAACAGAGTCATACGAAGGCATCTAGGTAGATAACCACTGTTATTTTTTCGGAGGAACATTCCACAGCTGAAAAAAATATTGTAGTCCAGATCTTACAGAACTTATGAGTAATAATTATACCTAGTCATTTTTCATTTATTTTATCAGCTAATAAAGGATTATACAATCAGACGAAAACGCATATTTCAAAGAAATGGGAAAATCGAAAAACTCTCGATATTTTAGAAGGTAAAGTTTTGATGATTCCACTATTATGAAAGGCAGCAGGTTATATGACATTTTATAAATTAAATATGCTTCTTCTGTAATTAAGCGAAGTCACAAAAACGTCTCATTTTCACACGAGATTTATCACAACACATCGGAATGCCGATATGTCCTATTAAAAACACACCCACAAGTATGAAATCTGACTTAGCGAGAAAAACACTTGAAACATCCATTATTGACAGTCTTAAATTAAATCTCGCATGAACTGGTGCCGTTGTAGGAGAAAACGATATTCTGTAGGAGTGTTCTGCACATTTCAATGGTTCCACTCACTAATTTATGTCCATGATAATGTGTATTCTGAGACTTCTTGTATATCCGCGATTTTCTCATCAGCACTGACATTCACACTTGATAATAATAATTTGCTTTATTCCAGAAACAGTACTAGTGGTACAGTGTGGAATTTCCCGCACATATCTACAATATTTGCATCTAATTTTACAGACATTTAAAATAAGTATTAAACAAACAAATAAAATAATCTGAAGACACCAACAGCAAAAAAACAGGATAAACACAAAATAATTATGAATGCGAAAAAGTACAAAAGTCTACCAAAGTCTAATGCAGTGTTTGTGGTGGTAGTGTGAGTAATCCTGAATAATACAAAATTTTTTAAGGTGGTGACTATGACGTTCACAACCAATGATTGTCAGTTTAATATTGCCGAAAAGTATAGAAAAATAAGAAAAAACAGCCACAAAACTAATATTACATGATGGTTAATGACAGGACAATTTTGTAATACTCATAGTGCTAATATAGTCGGAACCAGTAGATACACAAAAGAAGGAATACAGTAAAGTAAAAAAAGTAAGTCAATGTTAGTAATTTAGGTAGCTAAGTATGTTTAAAAAGGAGTTCACTATAGAATACAAAATAAGAGAGAAATAAAAGAGCCTAAAATTATATCGTTAATAACAGAGCAAGTCATAGGTTTCACTCTCAACATTGTCTCTGTCGCTTAGAACACGGGCCAAGTATGGTATCGTTGAGTTCCTATACTTGGTTGTACGAGCATAGATTATTTTACACTGATTTCTGGTTTTACTTGATGAGATACAAGGCGAGAGTTAGGAATAGAGGGGGTGTTGGGGGTCGGAGAGTATGGTTTTTGACCATTTTTCGCATGTATTCAGATGCCGATCAACTAAAGTAGTGACGAGCTGACTGAGTTTTACACCAATAGTCTTACCGACTACCTTCAACATCCTTCTCAGGATGGCGTAGTCCTATTCAGTAGACCAGGGAAGACTAACGGGGAGCAGTGAAGTAGAATAGGTGAGATACAAGAGTTGAAAAATTGTGAAAGTAGAGGTTGGGTGATTTCAGATTGTCTAAGTTCCTAATGTAGAGAATGATAAGAATATCTGTGTTTAAAGGTAATATCTGAATAAGAGAGAGAAGTTCATAGAATAAGCGACAGTAAGCAAACCCCATCCATGTATTTTATCATTAGAATCAGTTGAAAACCGAGTACTTTCCATCGGTATGTGAGTGAGAATACACTTACTCGATGGTTTGATAGCATTTTCTAACAAAGCTTTATACTTGGTAAATAACTTAATTGTGGCATCATTTGAAAGGAAGTCAGATGAACCCATCTTCAAATAAATTGATTATGATAATGTTGGATTCATCGTATACCTGGAAGTTGAGTGACATTGTTATGTATCAATTGTAGACAAATATTTTGCGGAAACATCAAGCAATTTGATGAAAGACGAAGGTTAGTTTTCTTTCACATTGAAATTCATCTTCGTCACTTATTAACTGTGCTGAAATATCTGTCGTCATTTTGTGAATAGTAGTTCCTATGATCTAGTTGATATGCATATTCACAATTCCACTGAAATGCGGTGAAATTTATTCGTAATAAACCATGTCTGAATATCCTTTGTGACAAACAGATGCAGCAGCTAATTGATTGTTCAACTCAATTCTCGAATTGTTTGTATATTGGAAAAGCGGTTTCCATGCATTCGAACACTATATCTGCCCGAATTCACTGAGTATCAGCATATTGAGTAATGACGCAGGTGGATATAAATCGAAAATCTATTCATATAAGGATCATCTTGATGAGTAATACGTAGTGCAATTTATGACAATGAACACTGTGGTTCACATTTTATCAACCTCAAATATAAAGTGTATTACATGATTTTATTATTCTTTAGTGCGAAATGTGTGTGTGTGTGTGTTAACATCTATGCCTCACATACCATGGTTCACCCAAAATAATGGAGAGAAATATGTTCACGCAGTGAACTGTCAGTGTAACGATAGAAGAAAAGAGACTTGGTAAAGCAATGCTTATTCGGGATTTTGTATCTCCAAATTGCCAAATTATGTACATCTTATCTTCAGACCACCATTTTCACAGAGCTTCTGCGTTATGCTACTTCTCTCCTTTATATTATATTTGTTCGTATTCGTGTCACATCTGTCATGTTTTACTGAAACGCTGAATCATTTGCTTTCTTTGACGTCAAACCCATCTCCCTGCTATTCGATGTTTTTATGAAGAAGAGCGTTTCTTTAAATTCTACTGATAAATCTAATCAGTTTCAGACGCCACATCAGTCTTTTACACGCAAAATCTCCTTAAATTATAGCATGTCTTTATACATACAAGTTGTAAAGTGCAAAACCATTGACGTGATTATTCATTCAATGATTTATCAAATTATTCTAAAAAACTTGCAATATTCTATGGAAACTAGTATTGTTCTATAGTGGAAAACGTCAAGCGAACCTTGAAGTTGGGCAAAGATGCTGTATAAATGCAGTTTACACCTAGTGAATGTATTCGTGTTACTGATATCAGTAAACTACTCGAAATGTCATGTGCTAAGCTGCCTTGTTTTGTGACAGTCAGAAGCCATTGCGTTAATATGATTATTTCATAATGAAGAACACACAATGAAACATTTCATACTTTTCGATACTGTGAAATTATAGTTGAAATTGAAATGATAAAGAAGCATTTGAAGGAGGCGAAGGAAGCAGTGAAAACATCCAGAGGTAAAAGGATTCTGTAAATTCTTATTGCACACTACGTTCATGAATAATAAACTTTTAGTATGATAATTCATTAGTCATTTTGTTAACTGTTAGTCGTTAAGTGCCCTATTTACTCATCAATAACAGACACATTAACTAGTATGTATTAGATATCTTTTCCACCACCAGTACAACAACTTCTCAGAAATATTTGGAAGGCAAGTTTTACCTCCAGCGAGTCATCACTCGTTTCGTGAGAGGTGGACTAAACTTCTGAAAGCTGATATATTCACTGTGTGGTGAGAACGAACGTGTTGAGACATAATCAAATTATAATGACACGTTTTCGGATCGTCAGTGTGTTGTATTCAGTATAATGATAAATATGACATTGAAGTTTATTGATTAACATTTTAAATATCATTCAACACTTCCTGTTTTTTAGTTAAGCTTGAATGGCTGGAAGAGGCAGCAGTCACTGCAACTCATCAACACAGAGATATTTTAAGTGAGTGCATATATTCACCAATTTGATCAGTGTTCTTCAAGGTACAATGAAGCATTGAACAAGTCTATTACGATTCACCATTCGATGAACGTGATGATGCTTATGTATGAAAAGTAGGGGCGTTTAATTAGTCTTCAACACACAGACGTCTAACGAACATACGTTTCCACAACTATTTGATAATTTCCACTCAATTGTAAAATAATATGAAGGTAAGATTGACTTCCACCTTGCTTTACATGGGAAAGCAGACGAAAGAGTAGACCAATTGAAGATGACGTTGACTGTAAGAGTGAAATAGTTTATACTCTGATTGAATATAATTCGATATGAGATAAGTTCGGTGAATAAAACACACATTGTCACGGTATTCATAACTAGATGTCGCTTCTAGAGGAATCGTTTTCTCATAATCATATCATATGATTCTATTATTATTACTTAGAGTATTTCCGAACTGCGGAGAAAAGAAGATCTAGAACTGGTGAGCGAACAATTTTACCTTGCTTGCAATACTTCGAAGTTCGAAATGTATTCATCACTAAAATCCATGCGATTCATATTTGGTTGAAAATTATGACATTACTACAACAAGCAACGTATGAACTTCATGTTTACCGGAGAATGAAATCATCATAATTGGATCACCGTTACTAGCTGGTTGTCAGAAATAATTAAATTTGATCGTTAACAAGCAAAGATCGAATAAATTATGAACAGAACAACGCATGGTATTTTGAATTGACAGTGACTTGTTCTTGAAGATCTTTAGTTTGAAGATCATGTGAAGGTAAAGACAACAGACCAACCAAACGATAAGTGAAAGTAAGAACTTACTCACCAATTGAAAATACAAAGCGCGGAAATTACTTACGCATATCTCATTCCACATTGAATGTATTTGTATGAAGTACTTCCCTTCAATAATTTCGAGTACGCAAGCGAATCTGAGTTTGATAACAAGTTATTATTCATTTCAGACATATTGTATGCCGCTAAAGTAAACGAAGTGTATCAGAAGGCTCGTATTAATTTTGACATCGGCACAAGTAATTTTACGTGGTTATTTGATTTGATCACATGTTATATTTCATAGTTCTAGAGATGAATGCACCTCTCAGTGAATTTCATTTTCGTACGAGACAAAAGTAGCCTGCATGGCTGATGATGTGTATATTATCAAGTCATCGTATTCACTTATACCAAATTAGGCTGTATTATTGATAAAATCAGCAGTATTATTGTTGGTGACAATTAAGTCCAAAATAGATATGCACAAAAGCGTCACATTTACTGCTCCTATAGAGTTAATTTCATATTACCATGACATGCGAAACTACTCCAATGAAGCTTCAGTGACTTCATCAATGCATCATGCAAAAAAGCCATACAAATTTATGATGCACGTTGTTAAGTTCAGAATAAAAGTTACATGGAGACTACATTACATGATTGAGCATTGTGAGATTTGAGTTTTATTTCATATTGTTACAACGTAACATAAAAAATGGTACAAATGTGTCACTGACAATCTATTCATTGTTTTAGAGGAACTAGGTGAGAAAATAAAACTATTGGAAATGAAGAGGATTGAATTTTTGAAGTGTAAGTTGAAATATTGAAATGATTTACAACTGTCTAGTTCAAACCCTAGAAGATGGAATAAAGTTGCTCCTGGCTGAAATGAAGGAAGATGCCAAGCAGTTTTATTGAAGTAAGTTCCTACTTAGATCCTCAGCGTGTTTTAAATAATTAACTAACTGCACAACTGAATATGAACTTGAAGATGGATTTCGTGGTTAGCTGAAATCAGCTGGATGAATCCTTGAGAAACAAGTAACAATGAACTTCTGTTCACTCGCATTTCTTGATTACTCATTGGCTTACAGGAACATAGTGGCTGAGCTACTGACTGACGGGCCACATGACCACAGTCGGTGGCTGCATTCAATATCAGGGTTGTATCATCTGTTGAGAACATCGTAAATTCAGATGGTACTTTGCATGACTTATTTCTATGTGGGGAACTGTAACTTGGAATCAGCCAGATAATGTACACAATTATTCTGTGTTTCAATATTCACTGAAAGTATTGCCTGAGGATTAGTGTTATTGTCAGTTAGATGGAAACTGTCGATAATAATTTATGAGGTACAAGATACGTGTCCATTTTCAACTCACTTTTACTCTGTTTCTGGTTTCATTTTGTTTCAGCTGCAGGAAAGTGAATTGAATTCCAAAGGAATTCAAACAATATTGGTGAAGTAAATACATTGTTTTCTTATTTCTTTTTTGTTTAATTAAATATAATATTTTCTTTCGTAAGATCTTGTTCCAGTTGGTATTTTCTGTCTTTTTAGTAGAATGTGATATTTCAGAATGAAGTAGCTATTTAGAACAAAAAGGCTGACCACTTGCGCACAACTCGAGGATTATTGTTTTGTTGGAGGAAGTGCATCGAGTAGTCAATGAGGAAAAGTGCAATTAATTGCCAGCGACTAAAAGTTACATATACGCACAAAGAAATCCCATCAACTTGACATTTTCAAGTTATTTGTTACGCGGATTTCCATAAAATACAATGGCAAAGATGGCTTGTGAAGTTCTACTCAAGTTGAGATTGATAAATAGTGGGTTGGTTGTCTATAGGTTATTTCGTTAACCACAGTGTACAACATAATATATTCAATGGTAATTCTCAGATACGTTGTGCGTCATTCGAATACAGTAAATTCGTCATCCATGATATGAAGACATATCACGGTCTGCGAATGACTGAATTATAGGCCTAATTTTATATGCCATGTAAATAATCATAATAATAACAGCTTTATTCCAAACAGTATTTGTGGTAAAGGTATGGAAGTTTCAGCTTGAATTACAATATTGCATCTAATTACCTAAACATTTTCTACGATTTTAAAATCAAAAAGCAACAATCAAAAAAAGAACAGCTTTGCGTCTACATTTTTAAACAATGCACCACAGGATATGAAATATAAATTTAGTGTGTAATAGAAGATGTGAACAACAATATAATAGTAACAAAGAAAGGAAAACCGAAACTAATGGGACTAATTGTTAGAGTGCCACAGTAAGTTGATCGTGTCATACCTAACAGATTTCTCATCACAAAACAACTGTGCCAGATTAGGTATTGTGGAGTTTTGTACTTGATAGTCCTAGCATATAACCTCATATAGCTGCTTTTAGTTCTAGCAGATGAAATGCAAGGAGAGAGCTGCGTATAGAGATGATGCTCAGGTTCTGACAATATAGTATTCGCTAGTTTCTTACATGACATTATATGTCTATCCACAATGGTGTTAACCAGTTAGTTTAACGATATCCCACTCGCTCTACTAACGGCTTTCGGTGACCTTCTCAGCAAAGCAAAGCCTTTCTAAAGTAGTCCAGGAATTGACAAGCTGAGAAAGCAAAGACTGCTTTTATAGCAGACTGCCTTAACTTCCTAACGTAGAACGTTAAGCGAAACATCTTTCTAGTTACTAGCAAGATGTCAGAGGACCAGGAAAGATCCGAGGAAATACTCAGTCCAAGGTACTTGACATTAGATTTAATTTCAACCTCTATGCCATCAATGATATTGGGGCCATGTGAGCTAGCTAGTTGTTGTAGGTCACGTTTTCATCTGAAATTGAAATTTACTACCTGACATTTGGACGGATTCAGCTTAAGACCATTTGAAGAGGACCACTGACTAATTTCCGATAGAAAGTCATTTAATTTGGAACAATCTGGACGAGAGTTGACAGGCATGGAAACAGAGGTCATCAGCATACTTAACAAAAGTGGCTACATCAGAAAGGGACAATAATGCTAGAAAATAGAAAACAGAAAAGCAGAAAGAACAGCACCTTGAGGAACACCAGCTAAAGTAAGTGATGTAGTGGAGGACTTTCCATTGTAGACGTTTACTTCTCCTTATCAGAAAAATAGGAATGCAACCATTTATTTGTTCAGCTCTCAGTCTGTGTTGCAGCAAGCTTAATTAGCAAGAGAGATTTAGGTACAGAGTCAAATGCAGATATGTAATCAAGGACGGCGCACCAAACCTAATTAGCTCCTTCATCTGAAATAGAGACTACATCATGATATAAGACAATAGTGGCATCTAAGTTACACCTAGTATGTTTATAAGCAAACTGGTTGGGGTCATTGAAATGCTTTAAAAAGGGTTCAAGATTAAGTAAAATGTCTTTCCATAACTTTCAAAAAAAATGAGCTTAAAGCAATGGGTCTAAACTAAACAGTAGGTCCACTTATTGATTAAGGCACTGGAACAACCTTGATATTTTTCCATGAGTCAGGTATAATACTTTTGGAAAAAGATTCGCTGAAAACGTTGGTTAATGAGGAACATAAGATGTCATCACACTTCTAAAGGATAACAGCAGGAACACCATCAGGACCAAGGGACTGACTAGGTTTGAGAGACTGAAGACACTTAAGGACATCATTTGTATTTTTACACTATTACAGTTTGGAATCATAACATCTGCAGGGATGCGTATGAAGGATTTATTAAGCATATAAACATCGACAGAAGTATCATTCATTATTTGCTTACTACCTGTGATTTCCTTTGATAACTGGCACACATTAGATGAGGATTTACATGAAAGAAACTTCTGGTTATAGAGAGCATTTTAATCTTTGTAATTCAGTTTTAATGAAAGTGTTCATTCTCTCAACACCACATTTGTTTTTCATTTGGTACAATTTTTCCTTCATGGCGAAGCTTTTTCAGTTGAGGAGAGGAGAAGCGGTCGAATTTTAAAAAGATTGTCTCTTTTGAACAACAAACATCAAGACAGAAATTAGGATAATGTGTTATGTTAGTAATTGTGTTATCAAGAGCTTGTTCAGTAAACAAGTCCCAGTTAGTAGATTTTAACATGGTCCATATATTATGTATGTTGTCATGAGAATAACATATGTGTTGTGTTTTCTTTCCAAGGTAGGAGAAGACCCTTTTGTGCTGCTTCCCATATACTTTGAGCAATAATCTTATGATACAGTGATCAGAATTAAGTA